ACTGCTAATTTTTTTCACCTTCCTTTTGATAATTTTTTAAATTAATAGAAAATTCACATAATATAAAATTTACCTCTTTAAAAAATTGTACAATTCAGTGGCTTTTAGTGTATCACAACCATTAGCACTAACCATTAGCACACATTATCTAGTTCTAGAACATTTTTATCACCCCAAAAAAGGAACTCTGTGCCCACTTGCAGTCAACCCTGATCTCTCTTCCCATAATCCCTAGAAATCACTAATCTACTTTCTGTCTCTATAGCTTTGCTTATTCTGGACATTTCATATAAACAGAATCATGACATAACTTTTTGTGTCTGGCTTCTTTTACTCAGCATAAAGGATGCCAAAGTTACTTATGTTGTAGCCTTCCTTTTTATGCCAGGCTGACATTCCATTCCATTGACATTTTCTTTCACCATTCGTCAGCTGATGGAAACTTGTATTATTTCTACTTTTTGACTATTATGAATAATGCTATTATAAACATTTGTGTACAAGTTTTTCTATGACTGTATGCTTTCAATTCTCTTGAGTATATACCTAGGCATGAAATAGTTGTGTTAAACAGAAACTCTACATTGAAACTTTTTGAGGAACTGTCAAACTGTTCTCTCCAAAGCGCTGTACCATTTTATATCCCCACCCGATGTGCGAAGGTTCTCCAGTTTTCCACATCCTGACTAACACTTGATATTGTTTGCTCTTTTAATTATAACCGTTGTAATGGGTATGAAGTGGTCTCTCTCTGTGATTTTGGTTTGCTTTTCCTTAATGACTAATGATGTTGAACATATTTCATGAGCATTGGCCATTTGTGTATCTTGGAGAAATGTCTGTTTTAAATCACTCACCCACTTTTTTATTAAGTTATTTGCTTTTTTATTGGTGAACTTTAAGGATATTTTAGTAAGTTATGGAAATGAAATCCTTAACATATTTGCTTTGCAAATATTTTCTTTCATTCTGTGAGTTGTCTTTTTACTTTCATAATGGTATTGGTTTGCTACACAAAAGTGTTTAGTTTTGATGAAGCAATTTATCTTTTTCCTCCTTTAGTTATTTGTGTTTTAAGAGTCATAATTTAGAAGCCATCACCTAGTTGGAGGTCACATAGATTTGATCCTATTTCCTTTTAAAATTTCTATATTTTTAACTCTTACGTTAAGGTCTTTGGTTCATTTTGAATTTTTGCATTATAGTGTGAGGCAATGTTCCAAATTCATATTTTTGCTCTGCTTCATCAAAGGCAATGAGCCTAATAAAAATCTATAATCCTACATCAGATATGGAGAAACTGCTAATGACCTGGACTGAAGACTAAAATTCCTCTCAGCACCATGGTGCTGAGATGCTTACACTGTTAAAAGCGATAAAGGCTGTGCCTGATGAGAATGTTGAATTTACTCCTAACTTGAGGTAGTTTAAACAATTCAAGAATCATGATCCATAACATAATGTGAAAGTGGTGAGCTTAGGAGTGCTGATAGAAGGCAGATGAAAATTTTTGAGACTTCTAGATAAGCTAATTTCAGAGGACAATTACCAGAGTAAATATCAATATGGATATAGTCTCCCTATTCTGGAAACAGATGCCTGAAAGGGGTTTCATCCATTCAGAGTCTGAGTCAGTACTAAGTTTCTGGCTTTTAAGGGCAAGATAACCATCTTGCTTGAAAGCAGTGTTCACATAACAATGATATCACCTAACAATGCATTTTGTAAACCGTATATCCTATATTTCTATATCCTATATCCCTGTTTTTCAGCTACACATGACTGCATGGAGTGGCTACTCTAGCTACTCTTTAGCTAGTTTGCATGAATGTTTTCCCATCTTTTTCTTTCTTTTTTTTTTTTTTAAGGGACACCTCTTTTTTTTTTTTTTTTTAGATTTATTTATTTATTTTTACAAGCACTGGGTACAGTCAGAAGCGCAGGAGGGTGAGAGAACTCACCAGAGTCAGAGCAGGGAACAGAACAGGCAGACTGATGAAATACACTGCTGAGGGGAGCAGCGGGTGCGGCAGGACAGATCTGTCACGCCATGTGGGACCCTCACCGGTGCCCTGGTATTGAACCGGCACTGCAGAGGCTGCGGACAGCTTCACAGCCCAGCGCTCAACCACTGCACCACTAGGGAAGGCCCTCATCTTTTTCTTTCAACCTACTTTGTTTTTTTTACCTGAAGTTTGTCTCCTATTGGTAGCATATAGTTGGACCATATATTTTGTAATCATTTTGCCATTGGAATACTTAATTCATTTACATTTTATGTAATTACTGATACATAGGATTTACGTCTTCCATTTTGTTGTTTTCTATTTGTCATGACTTTCCCTATCCTCTATTCCTCTACTATCTTTTGTTAAATTTAGTAGGTCATTTTAATTTAACTTCAGTTCCCTTGTCATTTCTTTACAATAAATTTTTTGCTTATTTTCTAAGTTGCTGCTTAGAAAATTAGCGTTTTAATCTAAGACAGTCCAGTTCAAATTAATATCAACTTAATTTCAGCAATATAAGACAGACATTGTTTCTATATAGCCCTATTCCCTCCCCCTCCATCACATTGTTATTGTCATCAAAGTTACATCTTAATAAATGCTATGCCACAAAGATTTTTAATATTACTTGGTGAAATTGTCTTTCAAATCAGATGTGGGGGCAGTCATTTTTCTGAATAAGCATTCTTCGTTTTTTTTTTTAAAAGGACTTATTTATACAAGAACCAGGGTACAGGCCAGATGTGCAGGGGGGTGAGGTGAGAGGATTCACCAGAGACAGAGTGGGAAACAGAACAGGCAGGCAGACTGAAATACACTGCTGAGGAGAGCAGTGGGTGAGACAGAAGAGGTCTGCCACACCATGTGGGTTTCTTCCTGGCTGGCCAGGATCGAACCCGCACCTCAGAGGCTGCGGACAGCTTCATGGCACTGCACTCAACCGCCTGCACCACCAGGGAGGTCCAGCATCCTTGTTTTGATGCAAGCCATCAAAAGGCTGCGGGCTGCAAAGCTGTCCACTTGTTTGACTACTTTCTAGAATTATGAAAAAATTGATTCTATTGTTTTTGCTTTGTTTTCATGTGTATCTCATGGTAAAACTTAGGTCAATATTTTTATCTTAGAATTTACCTTTGTAACTACCACATACTTCCTACCATTGTTCCTACCATGAACAGTGATGGAATTAGTATACTTCCCTCCCTCCATCCTGCTTTTCCACCAGTCAATTAATACCTTCCTTAGTATTTTCCTTTGGCCTGTTAAATATTTCCCTTTGTCAAGTCCTATGGAGTTCAAAATACTGACCAGGGTCAGGTTTTTGCAGAAGGATTCTTTTTAAGATTATATTCTGGGGCCTCCCCTGGTGGCGCAGCGGTTGACTGCTGGGCTGTGAAGCTGCCTGCAGCCTCTGCAGTGCCGGTTCGATCCCGGCCGGCCAGCAAGGGTCCCACATGGCACATAGACCTCTCCTGTCTGGCCCGCTGCTCCCCTCAGCAGTGTATTTCGTCAGTCTGCCTGTTCTGTTCCCCGCTCTAGCTCTGGTGAATTCTCTCACCCTCCCGCACTTCTGACTGTACCCAGTACTTGTATAAGTAAATAAATATATCTTTAAAAAAATTATATTCTGCCCTTCCCTTGCATCTTGGGTCCTCCCCCTCTCCGCCTCCCCCCCTGCACCGCCACTACCACCCCACCTCCCCAGGCAAGGCCCCAGTCATCTTGGCCAGGGAAAAGGAGGACTTAGTTGATTGGTGGGTAGCTGAAGTATATTTAGGTTTTGTCATAGGCTAAGTGAGACTTTTATCAGGGGAAGTTCAGAACATCCTGCCAGAGCTCCCTGAAAATAGCATCACTGGGCTTATACAGCTGGAGTTCAGGGCACGGCCCTGACCTGTCCCTTCTCCTGAGGAGCCCAGCCCAAGCTTAGATCCTGTCAAGATGGTGAAGACCTCTCCATGCCTTGCTCTCCATGGTTATAAGAAAACTGGATTCCTGAACTCTCCATCTTGTCCACTTAAGTCTCTCATCTTAATGTGAAATCATTTTTACACTGAACAGTTTCAGAAGAAATCCTGGCAGAGATCTTAGGCACTCCCAGCCCAACCTGGACTTTCACATATACTTGGCCATGACCTTGACATTCATACCCACCACCTCACCCCCTTTGCCTTTTCTCCACTGTGCTCTTCTAGTCTCTATAGTTCAGGCTGAAGGGAAAATGTTACCTACCAGATGGCGATCCAATAGAAAAAAGCCAGCTCTAGTAAAACTGATATCTGAAAAAGTCTTTTTATCTCCTGGTGCTTGAAAATCTTTTTTTCCTGCCTAGGAATAGGCCTAGTGTCTATTTCCATTTCTGTCCTCACACCTGTTTCTTTTCAGCTCCGTCACTTGAACTCCATCTGTCCTGCATCTCCTTTAACTAATTATCCCCCTCCTTCCATCCTATGCTGTCACCCTGTAAGGTGTCACTTGTTCACAAGGTGTAGAGCGGACAACAAAAGAGATTCTAGCCTTAAGCAAATGAATCTATGCTTTCAGATATCCTGAGAAATGTAAGAAATACTTTTGAAGAAGCCCTTTTGGTGCATTGCAGCCATCTGACCAGGGAATGAGATGCCACATTCCCCCCTGGCGGGATGGGCGGGAGACCACTCAGCACAAACACCAGACCAGAGTCTTTCAGATCCTAGGCCATGCGGTGAAAAGTTGAACTCAGGCCCTTACCTTCCCCTTCAACCATCAAGAGTTATATATCATCATTTAAAGTTTATTCATCCCACTGGCGCAATGACAGAGGAACCAACCTGGGGGTTTCACTTCAATCACATCCAAGTGTCATTTTCCAGGTCAGAAAAGTCAATGCATTAGATTAGATCCTAAAGTCGCTAGTTGCTCTGATACCCTCAGGCTCTAGAGCCCAAGCTGACTGGCTGACTGTACAGGATCCTGGAGATGGTCACTGAGCCATGCAGTTTGGTGAGCAACTTAGCTGGGCAGAGTCTGGCTAGTTGGTGGATCCTGAACTGGCTCACAGGGGGCCCCTCCACCTTTGGCCCCTCCAGGGAAGACGACTGTGGCATACGTCACAGACTTAGAGCTTATGTCACTCTTTGGAGGCAGAGGGGGCAATGAGGATGGGGCTGGGGCTGGTTTCCCTGATGCGGGGTCAAGAGGTAGGCTGGTATAGGTGGTATTGTCGAAGGAAGGTGGCAAGTCAAGCCAAACATATGGTACATCTGATGGCAAATCTACAGCCAGGCCAGAGTCACTGATGTGGTGGACCGCTGCAGAGGGGGCCTGTAACAAAAGCAGGCAAATCAGAACAAGAATACCTCTCTCTGCCACTGCTCCCTTTGGTGGGAAGCCCGGGACCACTAGATCTGTCTCTCAAATCCTGAGTGTATCAGTGGACAAGAGGGCACCACTCTGAAGACTTTGAAGCCCAATTTTCTCCCCAAATCTGACACAGTGAGATACCAAGCAGGAAGGCGGGAGAGCTTTGGTGCCAAGTTTACAGCATTTAGAAGGAGGTTTGAACCCCAGTTCTTTCTCTACTCCAGGATCCTGGAACATTCTGATGAGCATGGCAAATGGAAGAGCTCAGGGATTTGGCTGGGGGCTGCAGGGGTCTCTTACCATGCCCGAAACTCTGCTGCTCTGGAATTGGCCACAAACTCCAAGCCTGCTCCCTGGTGGGACAGGGGGCAGAAGCACAGTTGCTTCTGGTGCTCGCTGAAAGCCCAGCCACCCCCACTCTTCTCAGAGGCCTCCCCAGTCCAAACTCACCTTCCTGCTCTCCCCACCAGACCTTTCCCTGTCTTCCCAGTGCCCATCCCAGCCTGCTCTAACTTCCCATCCACTCAGTGCTTTCACAGCTACCTTCAACCTGCCCCAGCACTCAGGTGGCAGGTTGCCCAACCCCCTCCAGCTACCTGCCCACACATAGCACAGTCCCACCACCCTTTCCAATCCCTGCCTTTCCCCAGGCGGGCTCCCACTGTATCTCCTTCACCCCCACTTCAAACATGGAAGCTCGAGGGTCTGGTGGCCTCACTAATGCCCAGACAAGGGGAGATCATTAAAATTCTTCTCTCTATAAAATCTCCGTGAGGGGAGATGACTTAGAGTCCCAGACTCTCTGCTGGACTGGCTGACACTTGTGAGGGCCATGGACTTGAGGGACCGTACTGGAACAGATGACCAGCAGCTACCAACCTCTCCTTTTGGCCATCACAGCAAACAGCACCACCGCCGCCAGCAGCAGCCCCAGCAGGACCACAGCGCCCCAGATCAAGGGGATGCTGAGGGACACAAAGGGATAGGCAAGTTGAGTCCATAACCCAGAGGGGAGTTGCTGGGCATGAACCCAGGGCAGTGGCAAAAGGGTGCATGCTCATGGTAAGCCACATCGGGGAGAAGGAGATTTGTGGTTTGGAGTGAGGAGGGCACGCTCAGACAAGGGAGAAGGGGGGCATATTATCAGGAGACACTGGCTGAAGATCCATGGGATGAAGAGGCCATTGCTGAACTGGGATAAACAAGAATGTCTCCCTGCCTGAGCAGAAGTCCCCCAAGGTGCAAGGAAACATTAAGGTCTCCCTTTGATGTAGTCTGAGGTTCTACAGGAGCCATATCTTCACCACCACCCTCTCCCAGCCACCCAAACAGATGTGGTCAGTACCTCTTCTCCTGCTGGCCGGGTTCCAAGGGGCTGGCACTGCCTGCAGGGTCTGACGAGGAGCCCTCTGCCACACTGCCAGCCCCAGAGGTCTCCTCCTCTGCCTCCTTCTCTTTCAGGTCAGAAACTGAGTTGAAGGAGATACTTAGTGAACACACACCCATTGTGGGCTAGTTCAGGGGCTGTTGAGGTGTGAGGAATGGGGGAGTGGAGTAAGAAACACAAAGAAAGGGGCTTGGGATAGTCCTCAGGGTACCTCCTCCTGGGGGTCTGGGAATGACGCCCCATGTGTTTACCAGGTGTGAATACTTACCCTTCCACCAGCTCCCAATCCCCACGCCCACCCCCGCTTCCTCGCCTTTATCTCGTCCCCCACTCTCCCTCTCCAGGCCCCTTGGGCTTATCAGGCTGCTCAGACTACGTTTAGGATGTTAATTCTTTTTTTTTTTTTTTTAAGATTTATATATTTATTTATACAAGCACTGGGTACAGTCAGAAGCGCGGGAGGGTGAGAGAATTCACCAGAGCCAGAGCGGGGAGCAGAACAGGCAGACTGGCGAAACACACTGCTGAGGGGAGCAGCGGGCGGCAGGAGAGGTCTGTCATGTGGAACCCTTGCCTGGTGGCTGGGGATCGAACCGGCTCTGCAGAGGCTGCGGGCAGCTTTGCAACCCAGCACTCAACCGCTGCACCACCGGGGAGGCCCTAAGTTTAGGATGTTAAAACCTTGAGTTCCTGGACCTTAGAAGTCAAGGAAGGAAGAGGACGGAGGATGAGTGGGGTCAGCAGCAGCATCATATAAACTATTAGTTGTGGCCCACAGAGGAGAGGGATTTTAATGACCTCTTAGTCTATTCTCATAATTCATAGCCAAGACAAGGGAAAATGACTTTTGAAATTTTATTATTTGGGGAGAAAGGAAGACCTGAAGATGAAAAAATGACTGCATCGCTATGGAGAGGCAGCCGTTGTCTCTGCTTCAGCAGATATTATTTGCTGAGCATTAACTTTTTTTAGAATACCCTACTTTCAAAAAAATAATACTTTGGGGGCCTCCCCTGGTGGCGCAGTGGTTGAGCGCTGGGCTGAGAGGCTGCCCACAGCCTCTGTAGCATCTGTTCGATCCCCGGCCGCCGGCGAGGGTCCCACATGGCACACAGACCTCTCCTGCTGCGCCCGCTGCTCCCCTCAGCAGTGTATTTTGTCAGTCTGTCTGTTCTGCTCCCCACTCTGGCTCTGGTGAATTCTCTCACCCTCCCGTGCTTCTGACTGTGCTCAGTGTTTGTATAAATAAGTAAATAGATCTTGAAAGGAAAAAATAATAATAATAATACTTTTAAGTGTGCTTTTACTAAATCCTTAGACAATGGAAAGTTGTAGGCTGTGAGAATCAAACTTAAAAATAAACCCTTTTCTATACTGAGGACAGGGCTGAGGCTATGGGCTTAAATAATAAGGACATTTTTCCATTTTTAGAGCTGAATGAATTGGGATAGCTCAGGTTAAGAATGTGCCCTGCTTGTAGGTGAGGCACGATAAGATATGAAGTCAGTGAGTTTTAAGCCATCGAACCCATTGTAGAGTAATTTAAAAAAACAGCATTATATAAAAAATTAATTTTAGTTGTTATGTCTGAATTAAAACTTCGTTTCAAATATCTCTAAGAGTGAGAAAAATAGCATCCAGAATGGCGAGAATGCTGGAGAAGGAGCAGGCCAAGGTCAAGGCTGGGGGATGGAGGAGCCTTCCTGTGGGGGAATCCCTGTGCACCAGAGGGCTGGGGGCCAGAAGGCTGCTTGGCTGATTTATCTCCAACTTCTCGACCAGTTTGGTTTCCGTTTCCTGGAAAGCTGTCAAGAGAATATCTCCTCCCTACTCCTCCCACCCCCTCAGGGACCCTGCATCCCCAAGAAACCAAGAGCGCCTGGTGGGGGCAGGGAGGGTGAGTGCGGCCTGGCCGCCAAGGATAACTCACCTGCAGGAATTACTTCTAGATCCACTCTGTGCAAGGTCTGGAGCCCCGTGGCTCCCTCCACCATGCACCAGTACTCCCCAGCATCCTCCTTCCGCAGGGAAACCATCTCCACCTGGAGCAGGCCGCCCCCCAGGTCGGTGAGAAACGCACGCCTGCCTCCCGGGGCTCCGCGATTCACCGCCGAGGATGCCAAGGGCTGGCACCCCTCCGGCAAGAACCGGCACCACACCTTGCGAGCCTTGACGTCCTGGAGCTGGTAGTGGCACTGTACCAAAATGGAGCTCCCCACGGGGGCCTGCAGCATCTCGGGGGTACTGCCAGCCAAGCCCTGACCTAGGGGAGTTGAGGATGGACTTGTTGGGCTGGAGCTGGGACACCTTGCAGCCCTCCTGCTGGCACCCCACTGGGACAGGAGGGCCACCTTCCAGCCCGCCACATGTTATTGCTGCCACCAAGCTCCCCGGGGAGAGGAGAGAGAGGAGTATATGGGGGGCAGAAAGCAGCGCTTTCTGACCTTACCTGCTAGACCCTGGAGCAGCAGCAGCAGCAGGTGGGAACCCATGGCTGGGCAGGGAGATGTCAGCTCCGGGGCTTGTCTGGGCACTGACACAGTTCCCCTGGGGCAGGAAACATCTGCTTAAGACAGTCACATGGGGCTCCCCTGCCCATGGGGTGGGAGGTCGGCACTGGTGGGCCCCTCCAGGGAGGAGATAAGGAGCTTTCCCAAATCCTGGCTGACTCTGTGAGCCTGAGGGTGAGGGTGGGAGGCAGGGTGAGAAGCCCAAGGAAAGAGGAAGACTGGGCCAGGGTCCAGCTAAGGGATGAGTGAGCAGAGGATGCTGCAACTAGAGAGCAACAGAGGAAGAGGGAGATGCTTTTCAGAGTCTTCTACTATTGCATTTGGGGGTGCAGAGCTGTGGGGGTGAGGAGGGAAAATGTCCTATCCATGACCCAAGGCCATTCCACCTCTAAAGTCTGTGTCTTTATTTACTGTGCTGGGCGTTCTCTAAACCATGAACCCACATTCTTCACTTGTGGGAATTGTATTATTTCTTTGCTTGTCACTACTCAGTTTTCTCCCCACCCCCACCCCTCTATTTTTCTGGAACTCCTTAATTAGCTGTCATTTTCTCTTTGTCCATGTTCTTCTGATTTCTAGGATATAACCTCATCTTGTTCGCCCATCTCTTCTATTATTGTCATTTAAATTTCTACTCTAATGTGCAAATCTCTTATCCTCTAAGCATTTCTTACTTACAGTGTATTGTTTTTGCTTCATTAATATTGATACACTGTTCTCTCTTTTAGAAACAATTCCCCATGAGGATGTTCCTGTTTCTGCGGTCTGTGCCTTTTGAGCAAAGGGCACTGGCATAACTTGTTCCAGGGAACAGAACAGCAAACATACCTGGGAAACTAGAGACTGTATCAGCTCCAGAGGGTTTGCTCACATCCTGCCCCCCTCCCCCATTTTCAGAACAAAGGTCTCTTTCTCTAGATTGGAAGAAGGTCCAATATTCCAGACTCTATATAAACTCCAGATCTCATAATTTGGGGTTCTTCACCCATGACACAAACCGGCTCCTTGCCCAGGAAGTACCTGGCCCTGGTTTGTGCTGCCCTGTGCAGAACTGGGGAACCCAAAGACTATGAGCGATAAGCCTGCTGGTCTGGGACACCAGAGGGAGCCCCAGTGCGCAGAGACCAGAGCAGCATGGCAGGGGTGGCTGGAGGGGCGCGCTGCCCTGACCTAGATGTCAGCCCTAGATATCCAGAAATAGACACGTCTTCACCTCCCCTCCAGCCTCTCCTCCTCCCATCCCTGTCTTCCTCCCCTTCTAGGAGCAAGGGAGATGAGAAATGGAAAGCAGGAGCAGGAACCTGAGGAGGTGGCTGGTGTGTAAACTGAGCCCAGCGGAAGTGATACGAGAACAACCTGTTGGTCTGGAGCGGAGGGTTTTCCCAGGGAAAGGAAGGTCTCAGGCAAACCTGTGGGCAGGTCACCCTAGTGGCTGATGTGGAAGTTTACTTGGACACAGGGAAGTTTTCTTTTTTTTTTTCCACATTAACTAAGCACCTGCGAGTATTGCATGAAGAGAGACCTGTCGTCAGTATTTATCCAGGTGCCTAAAACAGAGGCCATCGACAGCTGGGAGCCTCGCACCGAGGTGACCAGGCAGGATCCTGGCCTCCAGGGAAGTGTCGTAATCCTGTTGTTGGGGAACAGAGAGGATGCCAGTTATTTCTTGAGGATCTACTATGGACCAGGCATCTGGCCAGGGATTTTCACTAATGGTATTTCCTTCAACCTCGTAAAACCCCAGCAAAGTAGGGTTGCTGTTGTTTTCACAGATGAGGTCCCTGAAGTTGAGGGGTTAAGAAATTGGCTTAAAATTCGTTTTAAGATGCAAAGTTGAAATTTGAAACCAAATTGTATGACCCCCCTTCAGCCCAGTGTGTCCCCCAGAGGGTCCAAAACAGGGGTTCCCAATGGTGATCTGAATCCAGATGTAGATGACTCTGATGTGGCAGAGCAGGAAAGAGAAAAGGCCAAACTCTCAAGAGGGGGAGAGTTCCAGTAGTGCTCCAGTGCCAGGCAAAGGAACCCTCTTCCCCCAGCCCCACCCTGCCGTCTGACCCGTCAACATCGGTGCCCAAGGAGGCAGGGTGGGGGGGGGTAAGTGGAAATTAGACTCAGCTGAATCTTTCCTCCCATCCCCCATTCTCTTCCACCATTCTCTCAGGGAGTGGCACTTCCATTTACCTGGGTACCCAAACCAGAAACCTCAATTCTTGGAGGCTCCCCAACTCTCACCCTTTGTATTTAATCCATTTCCAAGTCTCATTGATTTTTCCCTCTTAGGGAAATTTCTTAAGTTCTTCTACTTCTGTCTATTTCCACCATCCATGCTGATTGGAACTTTCAAGAAGACTTTGAATTGCGTTATCAGAGATGGCCACAGCTTTTTACCCCTGCCTCTGTCTCCTGTTCCTTGTGGCAGAGGAGGTGAGTCCTGGAGGTGCAGAAAGTAGCTTGTAACCAACCACCACGTAATAAAAATTTGCATGCAGATGGATGGCAGAGTGGAGCCTGGATCGTGGTATGCGGGCCTGTCTTCATAGGTGTCAGCTTTACTGCTTAAGTGATGGGCATTTTGTTTCAAAAAAGAAGTATGATGTCATAATGTTTGTTCTTTTGACTCAAGCTAAAATGTTTCCAAAACCAACCCACTCAAAAACAACACTATCTAGGGCCTCCCTGGTGGCACAAGGGGTTAAGCACCACACTATGAAGCGATCTGCAGACTCTGCAGCACAAGTTCGATCCCCAGCTGGCCAGAGAGCAACCCACATGGTGCAGCAGACCTCTCCTGTCTTGCCCGCTGCTCTCCTCTTACCCCCAACATCTCTGGCCTGTACCCCAGCTCTTGGATGCATAAATAAATCTTTAAAAAAAAAAACTATCTACCCCCACCTGCGTCAACATGAAGAGAGAAGAGGAGAAAATAGAACCTTATTTTTATATAAAAATTGTCAGGAGTATCTGGGAGTGCTACACCTGCCTTAGCCTCAGAAGGGATCCCCCACCATCCCTTCTTGCCTCTTGTCCCTTTCTCCAGCCCACCTCACTCTTAACTTTAGAGCCTCACTTATTAATGTCCACTGGGTTTTGTATTTCACTTTGTCAAATTGCCCAGCTTTTGGAAGGGATCCTGCTCAGTGAAATAAGCCAGAAAAAAAAAGAAAAATATCGAATGGTTTCACTTATAGGAGGAACGTAGAGGATCCAAATAAGGGATCAGGAAGAAAAACAAAGTAACTATAAGAAAGTAAACATCAAAATCAACAGGCAACCACAAACCAGAGATACTCTGTGGGGGCGGGAGGCAGGGACCATGGTGATAGTTCACAGGTGAATGGGTGGCTGGAATTTCAAGGAGGCTAAAACCGAGATGAAAATGCACACATTGTACAAAAATGAAAAACAAGGATGTAAAAAATATATAAAATAAAATAATAATTAAAAACAAAAACACATTGCCCAGCTCTAAATACCAGTGCTTGTCTTGTCATTTTGGCTGCCATGATCGTCTCTTATGCCCCGGTGTTTCAGTCTCGGCGCCTAGAACCCCCCAGTCTGTGGGCAGGAGGCCGCAGGCCTGGGTCACAGAGAGGAAGTTCCGTGTGCCCCTGAGTCAGGGCAGCCAGGAAAATACACTGGGGCAACGCTGGAAGAGAGCGATGTGCTGACGTGAGGCTAACACAGACCACATCAGGGGCTCCTTCCCAACGATTCAAAACCTGAGATGTCCACACCCAGCTCAGGGGCAAGGCAGCCCCAAATGGCCAAGTGCACTGGGGTTTGTGGGCTCCTGCCTCTCCAGGCCCCGGGACAGAGAGCTTCAGGATATGGCCATAAGTCTCCTCTTCCTGGAAGCCCACCCAGGGAGGTGTCTGCCGCTGCCCCGCACTCTTGGCTTGATGTGTGTACCCTGAAGACAGAGAGAAAGTGCCCTGACTGCCTGGGCCACTGCTCTGCCCCAAGCCTCCACCCGCCCCAGGTCCTCCTGGTCCACTTCCTCACCTCCTCCAAGTGTTTCCCAATGGTGCCTTCTGCCCAGCCCACCGAAAACCCTGTCTATCTGTCCCTCCTCTGCTCCCAGCACCAACCCTGCTCCATGTAAATCTGGTGTTCACCACCTTTGCCTTCTGTTTTCTTTTAAAAGATTTATTTATTTATGCAAGAACTAGGGTACAGTCAGAGGCGCAGGAGGGTGAGAGGATTCACCAGAGACAAAGTGGGGAACAGAACAGGCAGACTGACTGAAGACACTGCTGAGGGGAGCAGCGGGCGAGACAGGAGAGGTCTACCTCGCCATGTGAGTTTCTCCCTGGCTGGCCAGGGATTGAACCCACACTGCAGAGGCTGTGGACAGCTTCATAGCACTGCGTTCAACTGCCTGCGCCTTTGTCTTCTAACAACATGCCACCTGACTAGCATGTCTCCCCTCTCCTTCCGCTGGAACCACCTACCTGGGAAGACAGCCTTTGTTCACTGGCGTGTGTCCAATGCATGGGATCAATGACAACAGAAAATATCTGTTGAGGGGCCTCCCTGGTGGTGCAAGGGGTTAAGACGCAACCTATGAAGCTGTCCACAGCCTCTGCAGCACGAGTTCGATCCCCGGGCAGGGAGCTACCCACATGGCGCAGCAGACCTCTCCTGACTTGCCCACTGCTCCCCTCAGCAGTGTGTTTCAGCCAGTCTGCCTGTTCTGTTCCCCACTCTGTCTCTGTGAATCCTCTCCTCACCCCACCTCTGGCCTGTACCCCAGTTCTGGTAAGCATAACTAAATAAATCTTTTTTAAAAAAAAGGACAAAGAAGAAAATATCTGTTGAAAAATAAGTGGATAAATGGGTTCAAGATAAGGTGCGTTGAACACCAAGAGGAATTTGATACCCAGGCTCTCCTGGGAAAGTCAGGTAAAGCCTTTCCCTCTTGAGCCTCAGTTTCTCTTTCAGGAGGAGCTAGAAGCGATAACTCCCAGCTCTGGTGTGCCACCTTCCCTAGCACAAACCCTTGCTATTGGGATGGGGGGAGCGTAATATGATGAAAGCAAAACTCTAGGAGACTAATGGGTGAGTCAGCTGGGAAGCGGGGGTGTGGAAGAGCAGGGCTTGGGAGGTATCAGTCATCCTAGGAAGTGATAGACAGGAGGTGAGAGATGCTTGAGAATTCCAGGGCAGGAGGGGGACTTGGTCATTAGACCCAGAGAAGGCAGAGAAGAATAAAAGATTGGCAGGTTTGGATCTTGTGAAAATGGGGGGATGTGGTAGCCTGAGCCCCAGACCTGGAGGAGCCAGACTTTTGATGGTTTCTGCATCTAAATTCATCCTCTGAGCGCTGTAGTGAAAGCCCTTCACGATGCCTCAAGCTGCTAGGAGCTAGGGCCAGGGGAGTGGTGCCTAAGACAACCAACATATCCAGGGCTCCAGGAAACACTTGCTGGGGCCAGTAGAGTCCAGGGAGGCCAAAGAGTGCCTAGAAGAGGGAAGGCAGACACCCCCCAAGCAGCCAGGGCTGACAAAGCAGCACCTGCGGGCACTTGCCTGGTAGAGGAAGGAACACAACTCCCCGCTCCCAATGGGCGGATGAACCCCATCCCAGAATGGGAGGCAGTGAGCACTCCACACCCCACAGAAGCCAAACATCTCTCACCACTCAGCACGGTTGTGCTCCTGTGGACACTGCTGGCTCGACCCTCCCAAGCGTACTATTGCTAAATAGACTTTGCTTTGCCTGGGTGCAGCTTTGAATCATTTCCAGGCCATAGTCAAGAAACGAGGACCCCTCTCAACCTGGAAACAACACATCCAGTGAAGCATGAAGTCTTGGATTTACTTGTGAGCGTTTTAATATCTAATGTATAGAAGTTGATAGAGGTGCTGCCCATGTCCCAGGTGTGCCCCCCCTCCCACCCCTAGCTCCTAATTTCAGGGCCTGGGGAGGCAGGTTACAGGCAAAGGACTGTGCCAAAGCAGACCCAGGAGTCCTTGTGGTCGAGGGGCAAGTGTGCAGGCAGGGGAGGTCCCCCCAGTCCTCTCTTGGGTTTTTCCTTCCACGGAGATCCTCTTCTCTCACCTGTGTCTCTGCCCTGCAACAGACAGAGTACTCACACGACTGCACCTCGCCACTCTTGCTCACAGCACCCCCAGCCACGCTGTGCTCTCCAAGCTCACCTGTCAGGGTTTGGAGCTGGTAACCCGGCTCGTGGCCACAGTCCAGCTCCCTGGCCTGGGTTGTCCCCCGTTTCTTCCCGTGCCAGGCTGCAGCCCAGAGTGCGCCGGCGGCTAGAAGCTTGCTGAGAAAGATGCAGGCCAGGAGGATGACGGACGGGGGAGGGAAAGGGATCACCTTCTCTGAGAGGCTCCTTGGGGAAATAAGAAAAGGATGCGAGAGGGCTTAAGGTGGCCCAGAGACTAGAATCTCCACTTAGAGGAGAAATAGGGAGAACCAGGAGCTTCTGGGGAGCTCAATATCTCCACACCCAGCACCATCCCTGGGATGGGGCTTTGTGAAGTGTGGGGGAGCCTGTAGTCAGGAGACCCACATTCTAGGCTTGGGTGCATTTGAGTACATCACCTTCTCTCAGCGAGCAGCTTTCTGAGCAGGCGATGCCATCGTGTGTGTGACGTGGGTGCATGCACACGTGAGCTCCGTCTTAGAGTAACCATGTTTACACACCAGCACGCAGGCATGAACCAACCAGATTGGATTCTGGTCCTACCAAATGACTAGGGATCTGGGGGTCCCCGTTTTGTTCTTCTGCGCTAAGACTCTCATTGCTGCTGAATCGTGGGGATGTCTGAGGGTTGCTGGGGGAGGCAGAAGGGAGGCAGGGGAGGGAGACCCAGCATTTGACAGCCTTGAAGCAGCTGCTAGTTACAAACTGTTATGAAAGAATTTTAACATTTTAACACCTGGCGTGTCTGTCTGGCCTACAAACATGGCTGGTGTGTGTGTGGGGTCAGGGGGGGCGGGGTTGGTATTTAGACAAGGGCACAGCCAGGCCCTTTCATGATCTCAGAGACTGGAAATCTGTACTTCTGCCTCCCCTCACCCGCCTCCCCCCATGTCCAAGCTCTGCAGGGTGGGTCTGCCCAGGAGAGCCCTGTCACCGCACCTGGAGACGCTGTGCTCCACTTGAGCCTCCTCGAAGCTCTCGGACTCCTCGGGATTCCAGAGGTCCTGGTCATCAAGGGGGTCTATTGGGAGACAGAGCCTGTGAGCTTCTAGTTTCCTCCTCCTCACGGCAGTCTTCCTGGGGAGGCACCCCCCTCTGGGCTCTGGTCCAGTGTGGGCCTGTCCTTAGCCCCTCTGAGCCCCAACTTCCCCACCTGCCAAGTGGGAGGGTGAGGAAGAAGCATGTCCTGCATGCTGTGCGCACGGTTCCTCCAGAGCCATGCCTGGCACCTCCCGGGAGCTCAGAGATGCCAGCTCGTACCCTCTGGGCACGCAGTGTTCTGGGAAGACCAGTGGGGGTATTTGCAAGTCCTGTGTGCTGTCCCGCGGCCTACACAGCTGTGGGCCATTATTATGATTTTATTACCTGCCGCCCTCTTGGGAGTCGGCTGAGCTGGAGCCCAAATAGTACTGAAAATTCCCATCTCAGCCGCTCCTCTGCCTTCCCGCTAAGAAGATGATGGAAGCCAGAGGGCCTAGGGCAGGGGGTCTCCCCTCCCCCCTACCTTAGACAAATACAACTCTGAACCCCCATTTCCATGATGAGGGGCCACATAGTGGGGAGATCATCTCCTTGGAGACTTAGATGCGTTTTGAAAACACAAGCAGAAGCCTCAGGCTGACTCACCCTGACAGCCTGGAATGAGGACCCCATGTCAGCTCGAGTTCCAGGAGGCTGAGACTCGGGCTGTCACTTACCCCGAAGCATTTTTAGCTCTCTCCTCTGTGCCTCCACGGAACCCTGCAGGGTCAGCGGAATAGACACCTCCCGGTTAAAGATGAGGAAGGGAGGTCCAAAGAGGTCAGGCCTCTTGCCCAGGTGACAGCAATGTTCCTTCCTAGCCTTGTTTTTCTGCATAGCTTGGTGCTTAATTTATCTTGGTAGACCCATTGGGTGGCTGAGTGAGGAATGAGTGACTCTCTTCCTACTCTTTGAGGACCATCTACCACGTCCATGGGGTAACCCCCTAGCCAATGTAGAAAGCTGCATGGGGCAGCAGGACCACAGCTGGCCTGCTCATGGCTTGTGCAAATTAGAGAAAAGGCCCTTCCTGCACCAAGGGAAACAGCCTGGAGATGGGGGGACTGTGGCCCCTCATGCAGTGAGCAGCCTGAATAACCATTCATGGCGACCCTGAGTGGGAGGACAAGATTCACATTGTGGGTTTTCTTAGGGTCCGGGAAAGCCCAGAAGGTGGATCTGTGTACAGACACGAAAGATGGAGCCCCAGCCCAGGGTGCAGGCCAGAGGCATAGCAGTGGCCCACTCACCAGCCAGCACCTCCACCAGGACCTTCCCGAGGGTGTCGGCCTCACCACCTCGCAGGCTCTGGCACTGGTAGAGGCCAGCATCATGGGCTTGAAGATTCCGCAACGTAACGGTGAGTGTGCCCCCCAGGGCATCATCCATGATGGCCGTGCTTCCATTCCGCCTCTTGAGGAAGGATAGCAGCCACGAGCGGTGGGTGCTGACCACCCGCTGGCACAGGCCCTCCTCACCCAGCTGGCGGCACCAGGCCTTGCGTCGCCCCCAGTGCTTGAAAGAGTCGTAGGGGCAGGACACCTGCAGGGACTGGCCGGCTGTGCCCTGGAACACTGTGGTGTTGTGGGCCTGGGACAGCTCTGCAGAGAAGATACTCATTTACTCCTTCGTTCACTTACCAAATACTTAGTGAATGCCTACTACGTGCAATGAGCCAGAGAGTCAGAAATCCCACCCCTTAGGAGCTCAGATTCTGATGTTAGTTGGCAGAAGGTAGCACAGCCCAGGCAGCTGTTTACAGAAAATTGGAAACCAGGAAGCCAGGCCCCAGGTCTGCCTTTATCACTGTTAGCCTGGCTGGACATCTTTGGAAAAGTAACTAAGCTTCTCTGGGCTTATCTCCAGAGACACTTGGTCTTGATGTTCCCTCCAGTCCTGTTGTGCACACCTCACCCTGTCACATGGGGCCAAGACCCACCCCCCTCCCCTCTCAATCTCCGGGGAGAGGGCCAGTGTCCCTCTCAACTCTGGGCTCAATTGTGCAGGGGCCTGGACTGGGCCCCCCCGCTGCCCGGCCATGGTTGCTTACTCTGCAGCTGCCCACGCTGGACCAACTCTGCGTTCTTCTTTCTGACCTTTAGCTTCCAGCTTCCCTATTTCTGTGGTTTTGTTTCCCTATGAGGAGGAATTTGTCTCAGAGCTATTTTGGAGGAGACATGAGGTTGCTATTTGGGGGACCCCCTTAGGGTAGTAGAGATGGGGTTATAGCATCAGGTTCTTGCCAGGGTACAAGCTACAGGGGAATGACCCAGGACTCTGCCTCAACTCCCCCTCTCTTGGTGCCCTCTTCACCCATTTTTAACCATATGGTGACAGGAAGTTAAAAGATTCATCTGGAGCTGGTGGCCTGCCTTTTGGAGACCTGATGAGCAGTGTCTGCTTCACACATCACCCCGTGGACCCCTCTGCCTGTAGCAAGCCCAGCGCGCCCCACCTTGTCTACGTCAGCTCCCAAGGAGCTGTGGGAGCAAGGCTCCTTTGGAACAGCCCCTCCTCTCACCCAGGTTTGTTGTTCTGAGGAAACAAGGGATACTCTCCCCTCCCCCGTGGGGAAAAGCAGCTCTATGGAAGAATCTGGGGTGTCAATTCCTCCAACTCCCAACTCGATGACAGAAATCTTTAGCTTCCTCCCCTCCCATTCAGGAATGAGGACAAGGGGCTCTTCAGAGAATGAGGGGGCACTCCAAAGATGCACTTTTTCAGTCCTGGGTTCTTTCTCCTTCCTTTCCTCCCCCCACCCAAGCACTCCTGCAGGGCTAGTCTTACGCTTAAGTAGTTCATCACTTTAGGGGCTCTTATCAGTGTCCCCCAAACTTTCTCCAACTGCTAACTAATGCCTGTGATGCTAACATCAGACTCTTTCTCTCTGCACGTGGACACCGGAATCCACCATCCTTTATGCCTCCGTGTGCAAGAAGAGCCTAACAGCAGTTCTGCTAATGGGGAGGGAGGGAGGGAGGCAGGGAGAGAAGGAGGAGGCCAAGCATGAATATGGGGCTGGTGGGAAAGAGAACATCAGCACCTGCAGAATTTCAACCACCTCGCAATTCAACTTAGCACTCCCACAGCCGCCCACCACACACTGAAGGAAGAAGGAAAGACGGCGTGGGCGGCACAGGGAGGAGGTCCTACCTGCCAGAGAGAGCAGGATGAGCAGCCAGAGACGCTCCATGTCGCCCTTCCCCGCGAAGGGCAGGCGCAGGCTGCCTGGAGCCAGATCTGTCTTTCCCTGGAACCACAGGAGGAGAGGGCCAGGCACATCAGGCTCTGCCCTGCCACAGGAACTGGCTCCTGAGGATTGTGCAACGGTCAGCACTGGGGTCTGATTCAGAGAGGGGCTGTGGCGTGGGAGGAGGGGAGAGGAGGAGCCAGACACTGCAGCCTGGCTGCGGGAGGCTGAGGATCCAGACCTCTGAGGGGCCACCCGTCCTGCTACAGGGAGACCCCAAAAGCTGGGGCCAGTCGGGGCCCAAGGCCGCCCAGACATCACTGTCCTCACGGTGTCCCAGGGCTCCAGCAGCAGTACCCACCATCCTAATTGCAGCCCTGCAAGGGAGGGAGAAGAGCCTGGAGGCCAGGCGCCTCTAACCCCTCCAACCCCTCCAGGTCTTCCCCTCCAGCCACCATCACTATAGTTAAGAAATTGGTTCTGGAGCCAGACTTCATGGCTTCAAGTCCCTCCTTCCTCACCACTGCCTGTGGTGCAAGCACACCTCCATGACCTCTTGCTCAGTTCCCACATCCATGAGATGGGAATAATAACGTGTGGGGTGATGGGGAGGGTAACTGGGTTTCTACAGCCAGAGTGCTTTAGAGCAGGACGAGAGACACAGCAAGCACTCAACAAATATTAACAAATGCTGCTATCCTAGTTAGCAGGGAAAGGGAGAATGAGCCATTCACCAGGGGGAGAATTTTCTCCCCAGGAATCTCCTGTCCTTTTAGCTTCTTTTGCACACCTGGGCACCTCCTGTGTTCGTGTCCTCACACGTCATTATTTTGCAGACACACATACCTTAAACTCCTGGGACAGGACAAAACGTGATATCTCTTGGAGTTCTGGGGTTAAGGGTCTTCTTATTCTGCAGGAGTGGTCCAGTGAAGGATGATCCAAGCACAGGGATGTGCATGTGCAAAGGCCCAGATGTGTAAAATGGCCCAGGGAGTCTGGGATGGCAGAGGGAGGAAGGAATCCCTAGGGGAGTGTCAGGAGAGGCTGGAGGACCCTACAGCGGCCCTTAGCTCATGAGAGTAAACTTTAATTTCCTTATTTTTTCTTTTATTCATTTATTTCCTATGTTTACTGTCCACCTACCATCTGACAGAAAAGGCGTTTGGAGCTGGGAAGTTAATTTTGTCCTTTACTTGGGGAGTCAAACACCCAGCTCTGACCTAAGATCCTCGGGAATGAGGGGTCTGAAACCCCTACAAATACTCTCCCATGGAATTCGCTTATAAAGTTTGAATTATTGGTATATAATTTATATAAAGAAAATTCACCCTGTTAGGGGTGTCCAGTTCTATGAATTTTGACAAACTCATATACCCATGTAACAACTTCCACAATCAAAATATAGAACATTTTTACAAAACAAAACAAAAACAGACAATTATAAATCAGAGACATTCTGCAGGGGAGGAGGAGGGATCAAAGGAAGGGAGGACAGGAGGGAGGGAGGAGGGAGCACAGGGGACTGAGGTGATGGTGCACAGGTGCATTGGTGGAGGAAATTCCATGGGGACTACACCTGAGTGGGGGGAAAGAAAAGCAAATATTGTTTAAAAATGAACAATGATGTAAAATAGATATAAATTAATTAATTTTTAAAAATATAGAGAACATATTATTAGCCCAAAAAAAGTTCCCTTGTGTCCCTTTCTCTCTAATCCAGGTCCTGGCGACTACTGATCTAACTTTTTTTTTTTTGTTTAATAGTTTTTTTTTTTTTTTAAGATTTATTTATTTATTTATACAAGCACTGGGTACAGTCAGAAGCGCGGGAGGGTGAGAGAATTCACCAGAGCCAGAGCGGGGAGCAGAGCAGGCAGAAGGACCGAAGTACACTGCTGAGGGGAGCAGCGGGCAGCAGGAGAGGTCTGCGCGCCATGTGGAACCCTCCCTGGTGGCCGGGGATTGAACTGGCACTGCAGGGGCTGCGGGCAGCTTCACGGACCAGCGCTCAATCGCTGTGCCACCAAGGGAGGCCCTGATCTAACTTTTGTTCCTACAGTTCCTGCCCTTTATAGAATGTCATATACACAGAGTCACATGGTATGTAGCCTTTTGAGTCCGGCTTTTTAAAATTATCACAATGCATTTAGCATGAACCTGTGTTGTAGGGATACATTGCAGGAACTTCTCATACTGTTTCTGAGTACTTCGGTCCTTTTTATGGCTGAACCACAGGTAGTTTATCTATCCATTTGCCAGCTGATGAACATTTAAATTGTTCCCAGTGTGGAACAATTATAAATAAACCCCCTATAAACATTCATGTACATATAATGTGTGTAGTCAACTGTTTTCATTACCTTGGACAAAATCCTAGGAGGAGGAGTACAAGGTCATAGGGAAAGTGTATATTTGATGCTATCGAAGCTGCCAAACGGTCTTGCAAAGTGTCTGTACCATTTCTGCCTCCTTGAAAAGACTTGATATTCTCAGGTATTTTTTTAAGATGTTCCAAACAGTTTATGGGGACATTTCAGTGTGACTTTAATTTGTATTTTCCGAATGGCTACTGATAGTAAACATCTTTTCATTGTTTAATTGCCATATCTTTATGGGTGAAGTATTGGTTCAAATTTTGTTCGTTTTTTTCATTGTTGTGTTATGAGAATTCTGTATGTGTTCTGGATAGAAGTCCTTTATCATATGTGTGATTTACAAACATTCTTCCAGACTGTAGCTTGTTTTATCATTTCCTTCACCGTGCCTTTCAAAGGATACATTTTAATACTGATATAGTCCAGTGTATTGATTTTTCCTTTATGATTTGTGCTTTCTGTATTCTGCTAAGAAAATTTTAAATACTTAAAAGTACAGTGATTTTCCCCTGTATTTTAAGTTAGAAGTTTTACAGTTTCAGGTTTTACATTTTGGTCTATGATCCTTTCAGGTTATTTTCTTTTTGCATGTCACATAAGATATGATTTGTGATTCTCTTTGTGGTGCCCAATTTTGTTGACAACATTTGTTGAGAAAACAGGGCCAAGATGGGGGACAGGTCACTGTCTACAGGTTCTCACCTATATGTACTCAATTGCAAGACACCACCCAGGCTCATGGTGAGCCTCACCAACAACAATGAGGTTTATTTAACAAACAGGAGATTGGGGAAAAGGAAAGAGTCCCTAAGGCCACTGTGCCTGGCTGCCTGACCCCGGATAGTGTCTGTAATTTCCAAAATTCCAAAGGCCACCTGTGCAAGATGGCACTGTCACATCCAGGAGGGCCTGGGACTGGTGGCACATCAGCCAGTGTATCAGTGTCCAACTCATAATGGCAGCTGGATGTGCTCACAGGTGGGGCCACAGAGGTGACACCACAGCAACAGTCTGAAGGCTGGGCTGGACAGTACCACATACTGGACCAGACAGTGATGGATTCAACAGCACCAGGAGGCAGTGCCAGAGAACCAGAACAATGGAAAGCTCTCAAAGGTGGCTGGACAAAGTACCAGTCACTGAACAGTAGTGCCAGTCAGCACCAGTCACCAAGGAGTGGTGTCAGAGATCCCAGTGCTATAGCTCTTTGTGAGCTATTGGTATAAGCCAATAACCAAGAGCTCTTTGAGACACCAGGCTGAGGTCAACGGTGATCTATAAAGGTGATGTCAGAGGCAGGTGCAGTGGCTGGTCTCTGTGAAGGTCTACAAAGATCTGGAGGTCTGGAAGTCTTCTGGGATCTGCAGAGGTCTGCTGAATTCTATGGAGGTTACCTGTTGAATGCTCCTTCTTTCTTCAGAGGCTGGCTGCTGAGCATTTCTTCTCTCTTTGGAGGCTTACTGCTGATGAGTGATCCTGGCTATTGCTCTGCCTTATATCCTCTTCAGGGTCCCCCACCCTACAAGCCTGATTGGACCGTTTTTCAATCTTAAGTGTCTGATTGATCCAGTTAACACCAATCAGCTTGCTTCCATTTTCAATCTGCATAATTAACTGAAGCCCTTGACTGAAGCAGGAGAGCTTGAATCTGACTGGTCCATTGGGCTTGAAACTGACTCATCCATTTTTGATTCTGGCTCCAGATGCAGAAAAGAAAATCCTGGCCTCTGTTCAGACTTACTTGCCCTCAAGTCAGCATAGGCTCATGGACCAGAGGATTCTGCTTTTACTATCCTTCTTTCTCCATTGAATTGCCTCGAAAAAATTGTCAAAAATTCATTGATGTGAGGTCTATTTCTTGACTGCCCATTCTGTTCTACTGATCTCTGCATCTATCCCAATATCATGTCATCTTGACTACTCACTATAGCTTTATAATGCCTTGAAGTCAAGGGGTGTGGAAAACCCAACTACCTTGTTTTGCAAAATGCTTTTGGCTTTATTTGTTATGTAAATTTGAAGATCAGTCTGTCAATTTCTTCACCCCTACCCCAGCCAAAAGAACAACAAAATATCTTGCTAGATTTTTTTTATTGGTATTACATTTAATCTATAGCTCAGTTGGGAAAGAACTAGATCTCTTACACTATCCCCCCCCCTTATTGAGATAACATTGATCTATTGTACATGATTTAGGGGAAAAGCTTCACACTTTCTCAGATATATGTCACTACACCACCCCCACTGACAAAGTGTCTATAGTCCTTTACATAGGCCACTGGACTCCTGCCCCCTTTGTTAACTCCCCTGGCCTCTCTCCCCTTCTAACAGCCTGAATTCTGTAGTCATGTTCGCAGGGTTTATTTTGGTTTAATTTTGTCAGTTCCTTTGTTATTTTTCTCTACATTCCACATGTGAGTGAAAACATTACATATTAGTTCTTTTTGACTTAATCTCACTTACCATAATCCCCTACAGTTCCATCCATGTTGTAGAAAATGGCAAGAGTTCATCTTTTTTTACAGCTGAGTAATTTTTCATGGTGTATATATATGACATTTTCTTAATCCATTACTCTGTTAATGGGTATGTAAGTTGTTTCCATAACTTGGTTATTGTAAACAGTGCTGCAATGAATATAGGAGTACATGTATACCTTAGTGATTTTGTATTCTCTGGGTAGATATTTTATTCTTTGGATACCTTGAAGTGAAATTGCTGGATCCTATGGCATATCC